GAACAGGGCGGGGTGGTAAGAGAACCCTTGTAGGTGTAGTAATCGTCATCAAGAAGCAGCAGTTCACATGGGTTCAGACTCACTTTCTCAGGTTTCATCTACACCATGAAAACAGAACTACATCTCAATACTGAAGAAGATTAATCGAGGTGATCCGTCATTTCCTTTTTACAATACAGTCTACCCTGGTTATTACGCCAACATTTGTCGGGAATGATTTGGGCATATAACCTGGGTTGCCTTACAATCAGGGAAGCCATACTCGTCAGCAAAATGAAATCAAGCATGAATTACATGTACATTTCATAAAAATCAGAATACTGAGGGAAGTTAATCAAGGTGATCTCTCATCTCACAATATGTCACGATTCATGGATAGTATGTGAGTGATTTTACCCATTTTAAGACCAGAAATGGGATTCAAACTGTTACTTATTGAGGATAATCGGGGAAATCAGACTCGCGAGCCAATGCTTGAACCATATGACTACCCGAGATTTCTAATTTATGCCTCGGTATAGCCTGGTGTTTTTACAAAGATGATATGTTTAAAAAATAATTTCTATTAGATGTTAAACTTTTGAGGCCTCCTTATGACTTTGTAAATCCAAAATATAAAACCCATTTGAAAACTTATATACAAATCAATAATGTAGCCTGTATAATAATTGATCTTTTAAGAAAGTTCTCATTTTCAGCCAATACATGATGTATTTCTCCTTATTCTTTTGATGTATTACATCTAGAATATCACGCTAAAGATACAAACAAATACACAGCATGCAACTTCGAAATGAACAAAAAGAGCGATTGTTTACATTGATGTTTACATACCGTTAATTTGTCGTACCATTGTTTCATTAACATACTTTTGCATATTACAACCCATCGAATGCATTCACCATAAACCATTTATATACCACTTGATTTGAATAACGCCTCATCAAACAAAAATCTTGTATCATGTACCTACCGCCTTTCAGTTTTGCCACTCCATCCACAAACCTGTTGAAAGCATTGTCTTCCGACTCCCCTGTTACCTGCGGGAAAGATCAGAGTCAACTGGGTCACGATGGCTCTTCTTCTACGGTTACTGTGACCTCAAGTTCCATTAATACCATTTGGATAAGTACCTTACTCAAGGGAATTGAGAATATCTATTCTGCCTGAATATTGTTGCCGGGTTACATTTCAGTGCTCTGAAAGATGCCATTTGAAACATATCTCATGAGGATATGCATCGAAGAGAGCGATAGTATCGATATTTCCCACATAAATATGAATCAGTTATAAAACCCTAAAATATGCGGGAGTGTTAAAGGAATGAAACAGTACCACAATACAAATAAATGGAATTTTGAAACATATGTTCTGCTTGAGTAATAGAGCCAGGCCACATTTCAGTGCTCATCTAGTATCTTTGAAAACTTATCGGACGAGGGCATGCAGCGACGAGACCAATCATGTATTTCTCACTCAATTATGTATAAGCAAAAGACCCGATAGTTTCCGTTGAAAAACAGACAAAAACAAATAGGCCCAAAACATTTCATACAAAACAGGTATGAAGTAATCTGATTGCTTTCCACTACTGCTACTTAATAAGTCAGTTTCTGCTTTGCTCTCCGTGCAATTTTCACTTAAAGCCGAAGACCAAGTGAATTATTCAATCAGCTGAATTAATCAATATAAAACGTCAAACTTGCATGAGAGACAAGGAGGAAAGCATGTGAAGTCACTTCAGCGGATCGTACTTCGACTTGTTCCTTGTACGACAACAAGTGGAAGAAGTTTGAAGACTATTGCAAGGTTAGGGGAATTGCATCTCCCACTTCCACCTCGGCTCAGGTCGTTGCTGCGTTTCTCCAGCATCTCCGCACTACTAAGAAACTCAAGGGTACTACGTTAGCTACCTACTTAACCGCCATCAACTCGGTTTTGGTTACCACCATGGGCACGAAGATTTCCACTGTTCCCGAGTTGCAGAGTCTACTACGCTCCTATAGACTCTCTGACCAGTCCAGGAACTTCAGACCTCCGGCTTGGGATCTGTCTGTCGTCCTTCGTCATATGATTTCTACAGATTATGAACCTTTAGAAGACAAGGACTTCGAACAAGTGACATTCAAGACATTCTTCTTGGTAGCTTTGGCTACCGCTGCTCGTATATCTGAACTGCATGTGCTTGATGTCAATCGGGTGCGGTTCGAGCGGAAGAAGCATGGCAAGGCTTTCCTGTGTCTCTGCTGGGACTTCATTGCGAAAAAAACAACTGCTAGGGCAACTGGACCGGATGTTTACGATTCCCCCCGTTGTCAACCATTCTTGGGCCTGATGATAATGAAGATTTGACACTCTCTCCTGTTAGGGCTCTACACGTTTACCTTGCTGCCTCCAAAGATTGTCGATGGCTACGGAAGCGCCTCTTCATACCCTTGTCGACCACTTCAAGAACTGAGGTTTCTCAGACCACATTGGCCTTCTGGATGCGTGCCGTGATCCTGCGAGCCTACACCTTTGCTGGGTTGCCTCCTCCAGCCGCTTCCAATCCTCATGAGACTTGTGCACTAGCCTCGACGATGGCCCTCCATAGCAACTGCTCCTTGACCGCTATCATGAAAGGTTGCTTCTGGCGTTCTGATACAGTCTTCTCTTCACATTACCTGCGAGAGCTGTCTGTCACGGATGTCCAGGGACTACACCAGTTCAAACCTCTTGTACTGGCTCAGCAGCTTACATCGGCCCAACAACGCAGATGAGGGACAGTTCCGCATTCGCGTTACTACTTCCTTGTATATACTGAATAAATGTTGAACTGGATCTCAACCTTTTTGTTCTCATTTTATGGGTTTAAGAACTACTTTACTTGGCCTACATACCAAGGCAACAGAATACGGCCACCTAGCGTTGCCCTACGGACCTGAGGCACAATCAGTATGACGATTCACGCTTACTGACCTCTACTCCATTGAGCAATTACGTCAGTGAAGTGTGACACTCCCGAATTCCAGTGGATTTCGTTGCGTTCTGCCTCCAAAGTTGCCAGGCACATCCTTTGACTAAGCTTAGGCAAAGGAGTGAGGGTCAATTTGATGCTCCCCGGAACTGAACGTTAAACCTTGGATATGCCGAGTTGTGTTTCTCTTTCACCCGCCTCGGTCGGTGTCTGGGGGGCCTTCTTGAAGCAGGGGCTGGCCCGATTCTAGTCGCAAGATTTTAATTACGGGGGTACCTTGTAAATCGTGGCGAGGCGAGGCCTATTTGCCGAGTTGCGTCCCTTGTCTTGTACAAGGTTGCGGCCGAACATCACATCGCTCGGGAGCACCCATTTCCCTGGGAGTCGTTGTGCTTAGTAAGCCAAGGGGTTCCGGAGAACCCACTACAACATAGGAGTTGCGTGCATGCGTGACAGGCCTCCCTTGTACATCACTATCTACGGTTGTCATCAGTCCACACAGCTCCAAGACCAGCTGTTCGCACTGTCCAGACAGAAGGGTAATCTGCGGCCTGTCGTCCAACTTTGGGATAAGTGCAAGTCGTGAGACTTTAATATAAATTGTATATTTATATACTTATCCTATCTCACGCGATGGATGCAAGTATACAGTTGTTCCACTAAAAGTCGAAGCAAGAGAGAGAGGTGCACGTCGTGAGATAGGATAAGTATAAAAAAATACGATTTAAGTAAATGTTTGGCCGAATCTAAGATATGACAACTCTATTGCAAGCAATCTGTACATAAATATTTCTTGATAACTACATACAGAGAACACTACACCCAAGCTGCCACCAGAGTGTTTCATTTACAAGCTGATCAATATCGAAGATACATATTCATGGACAAAACCGTACTCTCCAAAACAAGTAGAAAATTCATGAGAATGTATGATTCTGATCTGTCGTCAGAAGACAAAACAGCATTGAAAATTGAGTGTCAGAAGTAAAACCGTTTCGTTAAAAAAAACAACTACTGCCCCAACCCACCGGAAGCTTTTTATGGGAATTACCATCACTCGATGCATCTTTGTATTTCTGTAAGCATCCTTTTTCCAGGCTGCATACTGTTTTGGAAAGTACATACCATAAAGCATGTAAGTCATCAGCTTACCTTAAATATTGGACGAACATGCTGCGTTGTATTGTTTTACTTCTGTGTGAAGACGTGCCATCAAAACATGGATATAAGGTGACTAATGATCACATGCATCTTGGCTCGATATTCTTTAGTATCACCCAAAACCTCGAAACCCACTAGTGTTACCAACATAACTAACTTGAGATATTATGCACAACAGCAGTTGGACGATCCACAATCTTGATCCATATTGACCAATAACTAACACTTCTCTTGGCTGTTCTGTCTGTGAGTCATGCTCGTGCCGAAACATGGAAATTGGGTGTCCAAGAGGAAGCCACTGAATCAATTTACTCAGAAAAAAAATAATCAAAAGAAACATTGAATGGGATTGTGAAATCCTATTTCAGGCGAACATCTGACATTATGGACACTTCACAATGGCCAATAATTACTTCATTTTACTTATTTGCATACGCCTTGGTTAATGATATGTTTACAGGTTGCATAACGATGATGATAAGGATGAGGATGAGGAGGGTAAGTATGGGTTAACAAGATACAAATTAGTCCATTTGATAATTTCATATAAAGCAGGGACAAGGATGTACATATACGTAGCATGTTTGACAGTGCAATATTAACTAAGAACAAGGAGCTATAAAATTGATTTGATAATTTTTCATATTGGCTACAGATAAGGGAATATGCAGTATATTTGATGAGGTCATTTTGACCACAGACAATTATATAGAAATATAATGTGAGGTGCCAGTGCAGTCTTACGTTAACTGAATATGTAACCAAAATGTGTATCTGCGAAAAGTGATATAAGAATATAAACGGTTTGATTAAAGAGTTTCTTATTCCCGACTTTCTGTTGTATATATAGTCCTGCCTGCACGGTGTTACTCCAGCAGACACTGACACGTCAAGATGCTGATTCCGATTGCTGTCGTTGTAGTTGCAACCAACGTCTACGTGGCTGCCGAGAGCGCCTTGTGCCCTGTTCCCAGTCACAAAGTGCATTTCAACTACCACTTTGGATCAGAGGATGGTGAGTTTATTTCATTAAACAATAGTCTTGTAAAGTCGTACTCATCCCACACGGACTTACTCCTGCATTCTGATTGTTGACCAAGTATGTTCTGAACGAGAAGGGACGTTTGAACGATTACAGCATCATATTGGTGCCAGAAATCTTTGATCGTGTGTTCGAATCCCAGACTCGCAAACGTCTAACAGACAGGAAGTATCCCGTTTGATTATTTAGTGAGTTTTTACTCTGCGAAATACTAGTACCCGTTGTATTCACCAAAGTGGACACCATTGTTTTTAGTTTCTACAAAACCATCCATTTTGCTACCATGTCTGGTCCAGCAGTCACTTGATGTGTCCGGTTTGTGTTTCCGGTTTATAGAATAAAGCCACATGAAATGTACATTTCAGATCCATTTCATTGGTACGAGCTAGACAAGGACACCCACTGCTGTGACGGGTCTAAACAGTCTCCCATCAACATCAAGACACGGAACACAAAGTGTGCAAAAAAGTTAGGCCCCATCCAGTACGAACGAAAGCATCGAAGACAATTAGAAGGCATTCTGAAAAGAAATGGTAAGAATTCCAGTTCGTGCCCTACCCAGCAATTATTATCTCTTAAAGTTCTCCTGTGACGTCACAATATGTTGTTAATCGGATAAAGTAAGATGGTCCCATTATCTAGCATAGTATATCTCCATTCAAACTGTAAACAAATTACTGTTCTGCGATAAAGTCAGATAGGAATTGACCAGAACAGCAACATCGTGGCGATTTGACCAGGGTGTTTATCCAGATGAAGATATAACACTGTGGATAATCAAGGATGTCCTTCTCCAAGCTATTACAAGTCTTACTCTCAGGCTAATGCTCCTCTGACTGCAGGCCATGGTGCAAGTCTCGCCTTCTTCAAACGAGATCGCCTCGTGACGAAGGACATGCCTTTCACTGACGGCGAGTACGTCCTGGACTCAATGCACTTCCATTCTCCCTCGGAACATATCGTCAACGGCAAGCACCACGCTGGAGAGGTAGGAGCAACTGTCCGTTTTACAATCTCTACAGGGGTGAAGATGTAGCAATTTTATTCATTTACAAAATAGGAAAACTAACATTTTGCTATTAAATTACAACAGATGTTTCAAAGAATCTTATCATTGGAACTGTTTTTAACATCCCTACAAATCGTGTGGTACACCCCTGATGCCTTGGTTCGCTTCTCTGCATCAATGCCTGAAACCTATTTCTGGTGCCTTTTATTTGAGTCATACGAAAGGTATTGGTGGCTGGGACCTGTACGACGACCAAATGACATTCATGCTCGTTTAATTTTATACCACTGTTCTTTCTAACTCGTACTTAGCTCGACAGTAAACAAAATCATCTGTTCTGTTAAAACGTTTCGTCCTTTGTCTTATCATTGCCTGTTTATTTCCGATGATGCCATGTAATTGACATACGTGGTCGTTGTTGTAGTTGCACCTGGTTCACTACAAGAAACGGTATGGGAGTGTTGGGGCAGCCGTTGGGAAGGAAGACGGCTTGGCTGTTATTGGAGTGTTCCTGAAGGTAAGAGGAGTCAGCTCATGTGCTTACACAGAAAACCGAACAGATGTTACAGATAAGCATCTGTCAGATACTGGACGGAATAATTCCATGACTTCACATGCTTTCCTCCTAGTCTCTCATGCAAGTTTGACATTTTATATGCTCACTTGACAGCTGATTGATTAATTTACTTAGCCTTCTACTTTAAATGAAAATTGCACGGAGAGCAAAGCAGTAACTGACTTTTTAAGGAGCAGTAGAGGAAAGTCATCAGATTACTCCATACTTGTTTTGTATGAAATGTTTTGGGCCTATTTGCTTTTGTCTGTTTTTCAACGTAAACTATCGGGCTCTATTACGTATATATACTGACGAGCAAGAGAAACTTTCTCCTTGTTCAATTTGATCTCACTTAAAAACAGCAACAAGAAATCGAAGTTTGATATATATAATTTGTGAAGCAATGACATAGGCACGTGCTAAGTACAAACGTTCGATTTTTAACAAGGCTGATAACTGATTGAACAGGTTATGGTCGACATGGGATCAAACTAGAGAATTCACGATCAGTGAGTCCATTCGGGAAACACAGCAAAGCGTGAACAGAAGTCTCTTATAGCGAGTTTGTCCACCTCTGGATAAAACACCCGTCTTCTGACTGAAGTTGTGAGGCGTCGGATGACGTCAGCTGGGATTCGCCTCCATTCTTCGACAAGGGCTTGAGTCATTTGCTGTACTGTAACTGGTGGATTCTGTCTCCGTTGAATAACTCTATCAAGGTGGTCGTGCTCGATTGGCAACATGCCAGGAGAGCGTGCAGGCCATGGCAGGACGTTGACGTTGCTGGCGTGAAAGAAGGTCTGGGCAACTCGAGCGACCATGTCTGTCTGTCAGCAGCGTTCTTCGGTAGGGTCGGTAGGCCCTGATACCATAGGCCCGTAGTCTCCTTGACACTATCCTTCGACTCACTGAGTGACCAAGTGCTGTTGACGCTGATGACGTTACCGTCAGGAAGCGGTTTCTAAGGTGTAACGTCCTCAAGTGGCGGTCTTCCTGCGCAGTTGTCACCCGGGGTCTGCCTGTCTGGGGCCTGTCTGAGGTCTGACCGGTCTGTTGGTAACGCCGACGAAGGTTCCTGACGGTCACGACGGAGCAATTGAAGGGTCTTGCAACGTGACCCGTTGTAGCGCCCATTTGCAGCATTCCGATGGCCCTCTCTCGCTCTGCTGAAGTTAACCTCGGCATTGTAAAGTGGTTTTCTGCTGAAGTACGATCTGCTCTGTGCTGTGAGGTGGTTTTATACTATGCATGCACGTTCATTTTACCCTTACTTGCAAAACACGTGCATTTTGCTGTTTTCGATGCAAAGTTGTCAAGAGGTGCGTTTGAGCGCTGGTTTTGGTCAGAATTGAACCCTGGTTGTTGGCAATAACTATGGGGCAATTTGCATTTGATTATATTTTCTTATGTTAATATTATGAAACATTTTGCAAGAGAAAGTTTCTGTTGCCCATCAGTATACATTTGTGCGAGATAAACATGATTGGTCTCGTCGCTGCATGCCCTCGTCCGATACGTTTTCAAAGATACTAGATGAGCACTGAAATGTGGCCTGGCTCTATTACTCAAGCAGAACATATGTTTCAAAATTCCATTTATTTGTATTGTGGTTCTGTTTCATTCCTTTAACAGCCCCGCATATTTAAGGGTTGTATTACTTATATATATTTATATGGAAAATATAGACAGTATTGCTCTCTTCGATGCATGCCCTCATAAGAGCACTGAAATGTAACCTGGCAACAATATTAAGGCAGAATACATATTTCTCAATTCCCTTACGAAGGTATTAATGTAACTTAGGTCACAGTAACCGTAGAAGAAGACCATCTTGACCCAATCTGACTCTGATCCTTCGTGCAGGTAACAAGGGCGTCGGAAGACAATGCCTTCAACAGGTTTGTGGATGGAGTAGCCAAACTGAAAGGCGGTAGGTACAAGTCTAGTGGTATGTAAACGGTTTATGGTGATTGTATTCGATGGTTTGTGATATGCAAGCGTATGTTAATGTGACAATAGTATGAATAAAAAAACAGTTCTTTTTGGTTTTGAGAAGTTGCATGCTGTGTATTTGTTTGTATCTTTACCGTGGTATTCCAGATGTGATATATAAAAGAATAAGGAGAAATACACATAAATCAAGAATTGGCTGAAAATAAGGAAGATCTATTATTGTATAGGCTACATTCTTGATTAGTAAATTAGTTTTCAAATGGGTTTTATATTTTGGATTTACAAAGTCATAAAGAGGCCTCAATAGTTCACTTCCAATAGACATTACTTTTTTCTTATCATATCATGTGTCTAAAAACACTAGGCTATAGCCAGACATGAATTGGACATCCCGGGTGGCCTTATGGTTAAAGCATTGGCTCGAACGTCTGATTACTCCGATTATCCCCGATAAGTAGCTGTTTGAATCCCATTTCTGGTCTTAAAATGGGTAAAATCACTCACATACTATCCATGAATCGTGACATATTGAGATGACTGATCACCTTGATTAATTTTCTTCAGTATTCGGGTTTTATTAAATGTACATGAAATTTATGTTTGACTTCATTTTGACATACTAGTATGGCATTCCTGCTTGTAAGGCAACCCAGGTTATATGCCCAAATCATTCCGGACAAATGTTGGCGTAATAACCAGGGTAGACTGTATTGTGAGAACGAAATGACGGATCACCTTGATGAATCTTCTTCAGTATTGAGATGTAGTTCTGTTGTCATGGTGTAGATGAGCCTGAGAAAGTGAGTCTGAACCCACGTGAACTGCTGCTTCGTGATGACGATTACTACACCTACAAGGGGTCGCTTACCACCCCGCCCTGTTCAGAGTCAGTCCGATGGGTCGTTATGGAAGACCCTATTCTCACCACAGTAGACAGAGTAAGATTTATCTAAATGTGTTTGTTGTTTAACGCCTGACACAGAGTAAGATATATTTAATTGTGTTTGTTGTTTAACGCCTTACCAAGCAATACCCCAGCTGTGAGAGAACAGCCTTTAATCAACCGAGGGCAAGGCAGTTATGGGCATTGCCTTCGATGTGCACTGATACTAGTACTCAGTCAACGAAGTATGACACCCGACTCATTAAGTTGCCTCTGTCGACTATATGTTGCTGGTGACCAGTTGTAACTCTAACTCCCAGTGGTAGCACAGTTAAACATGGGAATGTTGATTTGAAACATGTCATCAACCATTGGCGTCCTAGCATTACCAGCTTACAACCTTGTTCCATTGTAATCATGATGTAATTGGAATACGTAAAAGACTATCAAACTCTATTTGTCACTGAAATAAATCAATAAAATGAAATTTCATGAAACCTTTTATCCTCCGTTGATGATTATCTTTACCGTCAAAGGTTACACTTTTGTTGCTTTGTTTTCAGCTCCGCGTGCTGAAGGATGTTCCAGTCAGTGACGGCGAACCTCTCTACGTTGATACAAATGTCAGACCAGCTCAACCGCTCAACGGCCGCACCGTCTATCGCACATGCTGATGAACACAACGTCTGTGTATTCTAAAACCATATCCCGACCATTTATTTAAATGTATAAATCATGTGCTCAATTCAAATAAAAACATCATGTTATGAACAATGCAACGTGTGTGTTTTCAGTAATAATACGTAGCCCTTCAGGATAGCTGTCCTGGATATCTAAGTATCTCATTTTGTAGATAGCATATAAAGTGGACTCCCTCTAAACCGACATCCCTCTAATCCGACATTCCCTGTAGATCAACATATTTATTTGGTCCCGAATTTGTCCCTGTATACTATCATATAAGAAACTCTCTCTAATCCGACATCCCTCTAAACCGATATTTTTCACCGGTCCCGAGGATGTCGGTTTAGCGGGAGTCCACTGTACCAATATTATCACGAACCATCTCCTTCCGATGACAAGCAACCAATGCTGTCAACCAGCCCAACAATGTGATTCATTAAGCAATCCCATACGACCAACATAGACGACTAAGTAAGAACCTCTCATCTGGAATAACCACGTTGGTTCACCTGAGACTCAGTCTCAACTTTTCAGTCATATCATAAGATGCTAAGAAGCAGGGAGTGAACGTTCATAGCAGTCAAATAACAATAGACGAGTTGGAAAATATCTTCGTGTCATAACTGACTTTCAGCTATCCATTCATACATTATCACCACCACCTTCCCTTTCAATTCTAAATATCTCGAAGCCTTTTGTGTTTACGTAGTTCCAGTCAGTGACGGCGAACCTCTCTACGTTGATACAAATGTCAGACCAGCTCAACCGCTCAACGGCCGCACCGTCTATCGCACATGCTGATGAACACAACGTCTGTGTATTCTAAAACCATATCCCGACCATTTATTTAAATGTATAAATCATGTGCTCAATTCAAATAAAAACATCATGTTATGAACAATGCAACGTGTGTGTTTTCAGTGATAATACGTAGCCCTTCAGGATAGCTGTCCTGGATATCTAAGGCATCTCATTTTGTAGATAGCATATAAAGTGGACTCCTCTAAACCGACATCCCTCTAATCCGACATTCCCTGTAGATCAACATATTTATTTGGTCCCGAATTTGTCCCTGTATACTATCATATAAGAAACTTCTAATCCGACATCCCTCTAAACCGATATTTTTCACCGGTCCCGAGGATGTCGGTTTAGCGGGGAGTCCACTGTACCAATATTATCACGAACCATCTCCTTCCGATGACAAGCAACCAATGCTGTCAACCAGCCCAACAATGTGATTCATTAAGCAATCCCATACGACCAACATAGACGACTAAGTAAGAACCTCTCATCTGGAATAACCACGTTGGTTCACCTGAGACTCAGTCTCAACTTTTCAGTCATATCATAAGATGCTAAGAAGCAGAGGAGTGAACGTTCATAGCAGTCAAATAACAATAGACGAGTTGGAAAATATCTTCGTGGCATAACTGACTTT